TTGTATCCCCGGAGCTCTCTCAAATCTCCGTTGCGAGAAAGCATCTTTCCGAAGGCGGGCTGCGATTTTCCGGGAAACTCCACCTTCCTCTCATTCTGATGGTTTCGATTGACTGATCCGTTGTTCTGCGAGGGAGTCGAGGATTGCGTTTTCTGAGCTCAGCGATGCGACGCTAAGATCGAGCTGGATCTTGAGTCGAGCTCTTTTTGCACAATCCGACGCTCGGAATTTCCCGACGAATTTCATTTTCATTCCCCGTGTTGCGTTCGAGGGAAGGAATGCAAGGAAGTCCTGGCAATTTTCTCGTCTAATCGGAAGTAAAATATCTCGGATTTTTGATTTTCGCTGTGGCGTAGTTGAAGCGGTCTTTTCATAAAATGTAAAAATCGCAGTTCGTGGGTCTTTGCTTCCATTTTGACGGAGTGACACATTTCCTCTAAATATTTTGACGAGCTGAGTTTTTTTTTTATACAAAAAGTTTAAAAAAAGTGAAAATTTCTCTAGAATTTCTGCATACATTATGTCCGAACCTAGTGACATGCTGAATGTGGCTTCCCTCGTGGTCTTTCGAAGAAGAAAGGTGTGAAAAATAGTTTCAGTTGAACGTTACAGTTTAGGAATTGCACAGGTGGGCTCTCTTTATTCAGGAAGCCAGAAAAAATTCGTTGCAGATAATGCATGGGGAGAAAACCTTATGGGACAACATTCATTGTTATACAGAAGAAATCATTGTCGAAAATATTGTCGTTGAAATATTCCACCTGTGTATTTATTTATAGCACGTATTCGATCGCCAAAACAATAAAATTCTCCTAAAATTGACGTGATGCGAAGCTCACCTCTACAGAAAGATATACAAAAGAAGCCGTGGCATTTTGGGCAGGAATTTCCTTGGAATATTTACGAAAATTTGATGAAAAATTATAAACCTGGTGATGAATGCCCCGTCGAACTGACAAATTTTGACGATGTGCCAGGGCACTGACTGACAGAGCTTCGCTTTCCTGTAGTTTTACAATGCTTATCTCATCATGTCTTCTCTATGCTCCATCCAAGACTCGAGTGTTGGAAAATAATGATGAATGAATGAATGAATTTCGAAGAAAATTAGGTGGATTAAAAAAAAAGTGAGGAGGATCACCTCGAAAGTGTGATGGAATACCTCTAGTAATCGCGTGTGACTTTCAGTCTCTCCGACGAAAGCATCTTAGTTCTTCTGCGTTCAACTTATTCGCCGAAGATCCTCATCTAATCTTGTTTATTACCAAAATTTGCGAATGTGCGGGAATTTTTTGTCGAACGACGTGGCCTCAGAAAATACTTCGACGCTGCGGTGATCGTTATAATGCCCTTGCCTCACCAGTTGAAGCATTACTCTTCTTCCAAGGTCGAAGGAACAATTTCTTCGCGGAAACCGAATTCGGGTCAAGTTACGTGAGTTGCGCATTGTTTGAAGGACTCTCCTTGATCATAGGTAGATCATTACATCGAAGTCGGTCTTGGATTGGGATTCTCTCGGTTTCCTCTCATGTTTTCATAACTATTGAAAGCAGAAATAACTGACGTAACTGCAATACGAGAATAATTTTTGCATGATTACGTAATATTTTTCTTCTTGAAATCTCAACAGCCCGCTTGAAGAAAAGCACCCTCCATCACAAAAAGTTTTTGAAATTCAATTTTCATCACAAATACACCAGAAGTTGTCGAAGTTAATCTCTATAACCCCAGTCTGGGATAGTATAAGAAAAGTTTTATTCTTTGAGTATGATGAATGAATTGTCCATTGGAATATGTCATTGTTGATGTTATTCTCCTTTTACATCGTTTCGACGTATTCTTTGTCAATTTGAGCATGCTTGTCGTCTTCGCTTATATTTGCCGTCAACCATGCGGGAAATCATCCAACATCGAGCCTGGAATCACGAAAATTTATGAAATGGGTGCATATGATGAACCAAGCTAAAATTTTTTCCGTCATCCATGGTAACAAAGACTGAATTTCTATAAATATGAGAGGCAAGAAAGGATCCAAACTAATCTTAGGAATTATTTAAATTTTATAGTATGATTTACGAACCTATTCTGTATTTTATAAAAGTTTTTTTTATCACGAATATCAATCGGTATGGGGAAATCAGACACCGTCGTATTTCCTTTTACTGGCATGCAAGAACATATGATGTGTATTGAAAAATTGAAAATCCAAGGCATAAGGTTGGAACCCCGCGTACTGCTGTGGTATCATGTTCAGGTGACCTTCAGAATTATGCAGCTGGAGTCTGGCTGTGTCACATTTTTCGAGCAGCACATTTAGACGGCAGTGAAGAAGATAAACGACTTCGCGAGTCGTTGAATTTGGGAGAAACGTTTTTTAGGGTCTATGATGAAGATCATTGCCATATTTACCTGGAGTGCTGAATAAGGGCGGTTGCATACACGCAGCAAGTTTTAGTTAAAAGGTTGTAGGTTACCAAAGAGCAAACCTTTATATTTATGTGTTCTTGAAAGTTTGTAGATCAACTACAGTATTACTGGAGCAGAACCGTAGTCGAAAATGCGGCGGTTGAATTGAACTTACAATTGACTGAATGCTGGACTCCGGGAAATGCTTGACAAATACAATGTAAAAAATCTCGAAATATGTATGAAGCTTCGCTCGACTTTATTTATTTATTTTATATTTGGAATAATTGTGTTGGGTGTGAAAGTTCTTCGAAGTTTTTACCTTTTTTTTAACATTTCTTGTTTTATTTTCTTCTTACCTTTTGAATGGATCAAGGTAGACAGGGATTGATGCAATTTTCTTCGAGTAATATTCTATTTCCTGGCCTCAATTCCATTTTTTTCTCGAATGGGTTGTAAAGGGGATTATATATGGAGTCGAAAGTGCACCTCTTCTGTTTATGAACCGAAGGTGTGTTTATCATGTTAAAATCATTCGTCAATTTTTGGGCGTTCAAACATCCACCAAGTTTCACGAGAAACTAACTGACAAGAAACTATCTTTTCAGGTATCGTATAACCGTTTATCTATGAGAAAATATATTTTTTCTGTAAAAGAATGTGTTCTTTAGTAATGTCGAGACGGAAGGTTCAACAGCAGGTGAACTTGCAACAAGTTGCTAAATTCGGGGAAGAGGTGGAAAATATTTCTCGAGAAATGCAGACGATCCTCAAATCTTGTTATTGATATCCAAATTATTCGGAGGACTTCAATCTAGGTGTTCGTGTTAACAAAATGCTTCCTGGAGAAGCTCAATCATCAGCGTCATTTTGACTGATGACGCTGATGATATCTCAAATCAACTCCTATGTACATCAAGCTATGAATATATACATCAAGCTTTCCACAAATCAAGACTGATATTCAAGTTTTTTAATTACCTTTTCCGAATCAAAACGTCCTGTTGACATATTTCGAGGTACCGGCAGACTTGATCAAGATACCCGTGTATGTATATGGCGGGGTTGAGGAGCATGCATTTTTCGCAAGATCCTCAAGAAGTAAAATATTACTTTCTCATCCCTCTAAACGGTAAAAGAGTATGCAGTACTTATTACAAACGCATTTCACTTTGTATTTTGTCCTTGCCAAGCTGGTCACAGGGGCATGCAAAACGTTTCCTGTCCGCTGCTAAGGACGTTATATCACTTTCACGACAACGGGCCTCTTACATGTTTCAATGCAGAATCAGTGTGCGTGTTTTTTGTTTACATTTGTGAAATACATTTCAGCATAATTTCCTCCTGAAGTTTAAAATAAGATCAAAGATTGGTAGAAATCTTTCGTCTCAGCAATTTTCCCTGTGAAACACATAATGAAACGTTTTTTGTATCACAAGTTGGATTACGGACTGAAAATTGTTGCTGTGATGGAACTTGAGTACAGTATCACGATAATTGCAATACATACGTCGGAACGAATATTTTGCGATTTGAAAATGCTGCTGAAAAAGTTCCTTTATTTTTCATTCGAGAGGAAATACGGAGTGGCCTAAAAGCAAGTGCACATTTTCGTCTGAAGCTCCTCTGAAACACAAAGCTTATCGCGTGAAAGTATTTCAATCTTAAGATTGTTTCCAAGTGTGAAAGCGTTCTTCGCGGAGTGCTCGCAAATATTGTCCAAAAGTATTGTTATCATATCGAGGTCTTCAGGAAACAAAAAGGCTTTAAAGAAATACGACTAATGCATATCATTGGAAGCCTTCGAGAGATCATCATGAAGGTTCGAAGTACGCGTCTGGGCAGAATTTTCGATCAACCAACGTCTAGTTGTTCGTTGAGCTTATTGCGACGCAAGAGAATGAAACTGATCCCTAATTGATATTTTTGCATCAGTTTGTAATCCGATCACGGTCGCGTTTCTCGAGTTTCCGTGACT